GGGGGGGCGGTTGTTTAAAAGGTCTGGAGACCGTGGCGGAAGTGACGTATGAGGAGGACGGAAGTGAGGGAAAAGCACTATTTTTTTTTACTGGCATGTTTTTTATTTGTGATTAAACAAAATGTCTTCCGACCTACCTTAGTTCCGTCCTAGGTTTTTTATTCGTCACTTCCGTTAACTGGTGGATGGAGCCTTTCTCCCCCGCCCCCTTTCCCAAATAATATTGTTGTTTTCGGGTTGTTCAAATCGTTTCTGACTTAATGGCGACCCTGAGGTGAAGTTGTCATGGGTTTTTCTTGGTAGAATTTCCTCAGAGGAGGTTTGTCTTTGCTTTTTTCCTCTGAGGCTGAGAGAGTGTGACTTGCCCAAGGTCATCCAGTGGGTTTCCATGGCCAAGCAGGGATTAGAATCCTGGTCTTTGTTGTTGTTCGACCCTATGGATGAAACATCTCCAAGAAGACCCTCTGTCCTCCACTGCTCTGTTTAATTCCTGCAACCCTTCAATACCCGTGGCCTCCTTAATAAGAGTCCATCCATCTGGCATGTGGCCTTCCTCTTCATACTCCCGCCACCTTCCACAACATGATTTTTTCCCCAAAGAGTCCTCTGTTCTCATGATGTATCCAAAGTATGACAGTCTCAATTTGGTCATCTTGGCTTCTTCCAGGGATATTTCTGGCTTGATCTGCTCTAGGCCCCCTTTGTTTGTCCTTTTGGCTGTCCATGGGATCCTCAACACTCTTCTCCAGCACCACATTCTCTCAAAGGAATTGATTTTCTTCCTATCATCTTTCTTAAGTCCAGCTCTCACATCCATACATGGTAATAGGGAATACAATGGCTTGCATGATTCTAACTTTTGTGTCAATTGGAGAACCGTGGTCTCCAGAATCATAATCCAACACTCAAACCACTACCCTGGCTCTTTTATACCATCCAGCATTTTACAGATGATAATCAAATCAACACCAAAGGTTGGTCAAGATGTCCAAAGTTATTAATGAGGAAGAAAAGACAAGCTAGGACAGGCTGCGGCAGTTTGCTTTTTATTTATTTATTTTTATCCCGCCTTTCTCCCAACGTAGGACCCACGGCGGCACCTACAAAGGCAAGGTTTTGCCACCTCCTCTCCTCCTTGCTGCCTTAATTGAGTGCAAACTACTTCTGCACTTTGAACTCAGGTTGCTGTAATTGAAGTAAACTGAGGATATGGGAGGAAAGTGGGGGAGGAGAGAGAAACGGGTATTTTAGAAGCAGTTGAAAAAATGGAAGGACAGATGATTGGTGAAGACTATCCCTGCCAAATCAAATCAGTATGCTATCAAAATTGACTTATAATATAGAATGGAAAACATCTGGAAACCTCTAAGAGGAAAAGAAGGATGTTGTGGGCATAATTATGATGCCATATGATGTGAGAGGAAGCCCACATGAATAGGTTCCAGAGGAAATCAAGCCTGAACTCTCCCTAGAAGCCAGAATAACTAAATTTGGGCTGTCGTACTTTGGACACTATGAGGCAAATATGATTCATTGGAAAAGACAATAATGCTTGGCAAAGTGGAAGGCAAGAGGTAGATAGACTCCAGGCCAAAAGGCCAGTGCTTCCCTTGGTCTTGTGTCTTGTCCGAACAATGCAGGCCATTAGCCCTGGTCTGGGGTCAGCCAGTCTGGACATTGATTTGGCAGTCCTGGCCCGATCCTGGCCCAAAGGAACCTTAATCCAGTCCAAAAAGACTGGCTGTTTGCTGTGGAGTTTGCAGGAAACTGCGGCGACAGCCAGAAGACCAGAAAGCCCCCGTGCCCCCTATACCTGCTGCTGCCATTGCATCCATCCCAAAGTCTCCCATCACGGCCTCTGAGGTTGGAAGGGGGCATCTGACCACATAGGTGTAGCTAGGTGTCCCATTTCTGCCCTTATGGGCTGTGACAGGTAACTTCAGGACAGATCAGACGGTAGTGGCAGCAGGTCTATGGTGCAGTGTGCGTGCCTGTCACTGTGCCAGCCTAGGGACTAACCTGGGTTGGAACTATGCTCAGGCCCTTGGTCACAAAAGCTGTGGTCTTGCATAAGGTATGCAAGACCTTATTGTGGCTGTTAGTAACATGGTGTCTTGGAGGGCTCTTAATCATACATCCACATTAATAAGTTTTGGGCAGTTAACAAATGGGTGGAAGCTGTTGAAGGAACCAGGATTAGGGACAAAAATGGGTCTTGTCTCAACCAGACAGACCTGAATTAATGTTGTGTTTGAGAGGTTACACCATGTTGGCCTGAGGGATAAGAATCACATAAAGTCTGGGTACTAAAAAATACAGATGTTAGAAATATGGTGGCAGTAGACATAAGAAAAGCCATGTTGGGTCAAACTAAAGGCCTAACTTGTTAAGCATTCTTCTCATGTTAGCCAACTAGTTGTCCCTGAATCCACACAAAAAGGATATCAATGCAACCGCACTGCTTTATTAGACACGTCAGGTAGTCATCTGATTAATTTCTTTGTATTCTCAATGGCGAATAACTTGGAAACTTTCCATTAGTAACACTCTAAATTTCATGTTCTTTGGACTGGACATGGAGAGAGGGAGTGACAAGATGCCACACCACTTTAAATCCTATGAGGAAACAAAAATAGCAAAATGGGAAAGGGGCTCTAAGTGGGTAAAGCACGTGCTCTCCATGCAGGTCAGATTCAGTTGCAGGGGTTTCCCAGTAGGATTAGGAAAAATCCCTGCCTGAAACCATGGTGTGCTGCTTCCAGCTGGTGCAGACAGCACTGAACTAGTTAGACCAATTATGAGTCGGTATAAGGCAACTTCCTAAATTCCCCTGGATATCAAATCTCATTGTGCAATGTCAATTTTTATTCTGGCAGGTCTTAAAAAGCATTTTACTGGCCTTTCTCAGGAAGTTTGGGTCTAATAAAGCATTTTACAAGTTCAAAAGGAAATCACACCAGATTCCATAAAATGTTGTTTATTCCTGTTTTTAGGGAAACGAGCTTCTCTTATTATGCTGAGCTAAAATTGTCAATAGTTCTCTATGAGTTGACTGTCTTTACTCAAGTTAAGCAAAATACATGTCTGATCCTTCCTCCATTCTATACTAAAGATTCTTCCCCCCCCCCCCCCCCCCACACACACAAAAGAAAACTCTAGGGGTAAAGGATTAGCAAGATGCCAGCTTAACAAGCCACTACTGTGCAAGGTTTTAGGCACCCAAAGACATCTCATATCCTGTATCTGTTGGATTTGTCTGAATATTAGTACTTGATTTTGAAAAGCAACTACTGACGTTGGCTTGCTTCTCTCTTTGATTCGTTGTGATTCATGGCCTATTATGTAATTGCTATGGGATATGGTTCCTGTTTATGTGGTATTCCTATCTGACAGCCCTT